CCTTACTCACACACAGACACACCCGAAACACACAATGCATCCCTTACGCTCACACAAACACTCATTCTCTTACACACAGAAACAAAATGCATCTCTTACACACTCAATGCACCCCTTACAGACACACACTGCTTTCAATTACATACACAGAAACACACCTTGCATCCCTTACACACACACCCAGAAACATACAATGCATTCCTTACACGCAAACACACACTGCATCCACTATACACACACTACATCCCTTACACAAATTGGTATTCCTATACACTACATTCTATAAGAACAGACACACATTGCATCCTCTACAATAACACATAAAACATCCCCTACACACATACACTCCACTAGCTGTGAGAGAACTCATGGGTGGTCCATGTAGGTGGATTTATGGGTTTGCATTGAAGGCATACTCATGGTCAAGCCCTGGGGGCCCAGACCTTGAGCTGTGTAAGGGGCCCCCAAAATGGCGCTGCTTCCTGTTCTACACCAAACCTGTGGAGCCAGACTGAGCCCATCATCAGCCTCTTGTCCTCGTCTGGTGGTAAGTAGGAAATCCAATATATTATTAGTGGCACTAATCTCTAATTTACCTCACATTAAATGGATACTATAGTCACCAGAAGCACTACAGCTTAATGTAGTGGTTCTGGTGTCTATAGCCTGTGCCTGTAGGCTTTTTAATGTAAACACTCTGTCTTTTCAGATAAAAGACACTTTGTGAAGACTGGCGTTGGCCCATATGGCAGAGCATATGGGCGGGGCATTGTGATGTCACATGGCGGGCAGGACATATGGGGGGGGCGTTACATTTTTTTTTGCCTAGGGCGGCTAAAATCCTTGCACCGGCCCTGCATGGAGCAGGGCAGAGTACAGAGGTGGCGGCACGTTGCAAGTGAGGTATGTCCACGCTTCAGCCCCAGGCTGGTAGGAAGGCCGACATCTTTGGTCCACGGACCCGGTATCCTCGATGGTCCGAGTCCCTCCCTGGATAGGAGTGGCGGTGAGACCCGATGTTCTGCCGCCGTCCGTGGTGGTAGTCCCTCCGTCTGTGTGGGCGACGTCTCTGGGTCAAGCCCTTGGTTGCCCTCGACCTGGGCAGGCCTGTAGTAGGAAATATGGGCTTTCGTAGTATAGCTAGGCCCGAGGGAGTCGTCTGCTCTCTCACCACTCTGATCTTCCACCTGAGGTTGGGGCGGCAACATTGATTGGCGGTTCTCCAGAGCCTCCCAGCATCGTTGAAAGTGCTTGTCTAGCCGCTGTAGAATTCACTGCACGCAGCTAGGGGCTAGTGCAGGCTAGACCTGTTCTCCCTCTTTAGGACACCATCGCCATCTTAAGTCAACTTTCCGAGCGTGGCTAGGCCCCGGTTCAGATTTGGAGATAGGTGCCGTGTCCGTTGGTCTAGGCAGTCGAGTGGAGACCAGGATGACCCCGGATGTTAGGACTGGTGAGTTACCGGTGAACGGGAAGATTTTCTGTCTCTTTCCAGCTCTGGTAAAGCAGGCCGCAGCAATGGTTCTCCGGCCCCCAGTGAGTAGCTGACTTGGCAAGGTCTCAAGCTGTGTCACTGGAGCCCCCTGAGCTCAGTAACATCTGTCAGTCGGTTAAATCGCTGGGTGGCTGGGGTTAAACTCCCTAAATCTGCTTATTTTACAGGAGCTCAATTTCATAAATGTAATTTTTACAGGGACTACCAGAGGAAAGACACTGCCAGACTGCCCCAGCATTTTTTACCAGTAGTCTGGTAATTTTCCCAGAATTCCCTGCTTCCAACTGTAAACCAACTGTATCCCTTTGGTTGCTATGCCAGCAAGCAGCTAACTTAAATAATTACACACTACTTTGGAGGGATAGAAAAATCAGGAAAGGTGGTGGGGTGTGTTTGAATGTCAACCATGAGTTAAAGCCAAATCCTAAGCAAGTGGCATGTAACAAGGAAAACATGGAAGCTTTATGGGTAGATGAAATTGGATGTTGAAAAATGGAAAGTTATGCACTTCGGCATAAAGAATGCACAAGCAACGTATACCCTTATTTCGTCTAAGGCAAAGAAAATGTTTTTTTACTGTAAGAAAATAAGGATGTGGAATTCTCTGCCTGAAAAAGTGGTTTTATCAGCGTCCATACAGATGTTCAAATAGCAACTAAATGCATTCTTGCAAAAACAGAATATTCAAGGATATAATCTTTCAATGTAGGGTAATAACTGCTTCATCCAAGGATAAATCTGACTGCGATTCTGGGGTCAAGAAGGAATTTTTTTCAAAATTGGAAGTGCTTCAAACTGGGCTTTTTCTATTTTCCTTCTTGTTGATCAACAGTAAAAAACAAATGTGAGGAAGGCTGAACTTGATGGACGCAAGTCTCTTTTCAATAATGTAACTATGTAACTATATATACCTGTGGAACTCGCTTCCCTCCTCCGTTAGATGCTCACCCAGTCTCCACTCCTTCAAAAAATCGTTAAAAACCCACTTCTTCATAAAAAAGTATCAATTAAACTGTTAATAGCTCCTGACTGATTCCTCTCTTGCAACAGTCATTAGTCTAATACTATCCTTACCTTTTTGTGTAATTTTACCCCACTCCCTCTAGCATGTAAGCTCATTGAGCAGGGCCCTCAACCCCTCTGTTCCTGTGTGTCCAACTTGTCTGGTTACAACTACATGTCTGTTCGTCCACCCATTGTAAAGCGCTGTGGAATTTGACGGCGCTCTATAAAGCTTGGGGCAAAAGAAGGAAAATCAATTATTGGATGTGATATTTTTTAAACCAGCTAATGTTAATAATGATGAGGAAGAACAGCTGTTAGAGCAAATGGAGGAAGCTGCACATATGGATAACATGTTAATTATTGGATATTTTTATTACCCTGACATAAATCGGGAACAACTTTGCAATAATGAGCAATATCAATCAGCGATTGCTAAGGCCAGTAAGGTATTGTCAAGTATAAATAGGGGCATTGATTTTTGGGATGAAAATATAAATGTGCCTCTTTATAAATCAATGGTAAGACCACACTTCGAATATGCTGTACAATTTTGGGTACCTGTTCTAATGAAGAATATTATTGCACCAGGAAAAGTGCAGAGGCAGGCTACAAAATTAATAAAAGGAATAGAGCATTTTAGTTATGAAGAATGGTTAACACATTTATGGGTATGTGATAGCATTATACAAATATATTCAGGGCCAATACAAACCATTGTCTGGAAATGTATTCACAAACAAGACTATACCTAGGGCATGAGGTCACATGTTTAGACTGAAAGAAAGGAGATTTAGTCTAAGGCAAGGAAAAAGTTATTTTACAGTAAGAACAATAATGATATAGAATTACCTGCCTGAAGAGGTTGTTTTATCTGAGTGTATACAGATGTTTAAACAGCAATTGGATGAATATTTGCAAAAACATAATATTCAGGAATATCATTTTTAGCTAGTGGGGTAATAACTTCTTGATTCAAGGAGAGAACTGAATGCCATTCAGGGGTCAAGGAGGATTTTTTTCTTAGTTTGTTGCAAAATCTCAAGTGCTTCAAACTGGGGTTTTTTGCCTGCAAAACAGAGGTGAGTAAGGCTGAATTTGACATACATGTCTCTTTACAGCTATGTAACTGTTTAATTTTATGACAGGAGGCTTCATATTTGCTTTACTTCCTTTACTGTATCCTCCCAGCAGCAAACAAATAGTTAACCGTTTGAACAAAAGAAACAACCAACCAGAACACATTTAGTCAGTGATATGTGGCTGTGAGACTCCTACTAATCCCTCTTTCTTTGCTGCTTGCCTCCCAGGTGAGTCTATTCTGATTGCACAGGCCTTATTATAGAGTTTTCTATAAATCTATTTACATTGTATCCATTACTTTTATCCATTTTATGTCTTTATATATTTATATTTTATCCATTTGTTATATCTAGCTTTTTTCATTACTCTTTTCTAACCCCTGGGGCTGACCTTTGTCGTCCCACAGGACCTTTGCCCCTCATTTGGGCATTTGGGGGCACTCAGCATCCCTTGGGGGTTCCCACTGAGGGTTTATTTTCCCTTCCACTTCACCCACATCGATTCCTTGACGACCGCGGCTTTGTTTATCTTTTTCTCTGCTTGTATTACAGGCGCGTCCTGTCAGCGGCTCCCTTTTGTTTTTTCCCATGCTTTTTTCACTGATGCGCGCGGTCTCCGTCTCCGCACTAGCCGGTGGCCATCTTACTGTGCAGCAGGTTTAGCTCACCGACAGATACTGCCTGTCACAGTTTTCCCTCTCTACTGACCAGTTTTGACAGTCATATTCATCCCCTCTAACCTTGTTTTACAAACCAGTTCCAAGGTAAGTCTTTTTTTCATTCTATGTCTAGTCTATACACAACCTTTCCTTTATAATTTGATTCTCAAAATCCTCTATCTGTTTTGCCTCATGACAGGTTCAGACAACTGCATATAAAGTGCTTTCCCAGCAATCAGTTGCCAGTATTATTAAATCCAAACACTATATCTGCCACAAGGGTGACCCCCTTAATTATAACAGGTGACCCCTGTTTTTTGCTACAGCAGTACTTTAGTTTCCGTTTGTTTAGCTCATAGCTTTCCAATACTTTGTGTCTCATTATTCAAGTGGGTGACTCCCACCTTTTTCTGCATTTTGGTAACCCCCATTTGCCTGTTTGGGTGACCCCCAAACTTAAATCTAAGGGTGGCCCCCTTTTATTCCTGGCTGACCCCAGTTGTTATCAGGGTGACCCCCTGCTACATCGTCACTACATCCTCACAGGGTGACCTCCTGTTGTAACGAATTTAATTTAACTTAATTTAATTTTCAAACCTGTTCATTTTACCATCAATCAGCAGAATGTCTGAACAACCAGACTTTGCTGTTTCTGCTGAACTAAAATCTTGGCTATTTTCATCAAGAAAGAATCCATACCTAAAGCTATTGCAGCTTACCACGAACAGGTTAAACCTGTTTCCAAGCCAAATGTTGCCTTAAATATTTCCGACTCGGATGAGTCTCACATTGATTCTGACCACGACGGGGCTCCGTGCAAGCGTCCCTGGAAGGGCAACAGTGCCTCCGCCGGTAAAGGCAAGGCACCGACCAAAAATCCCATACTGTCTTTTCCCTCCTCAAACCATCCCATACCATCCCATCACACAACGTACAGGTTGTGGATGAGTTGTGGATGAGTACTGCACAAGGTACTCTGACGAGGAACAACATAGCAATACCCCTTATGTCAGGAAATCCTTCATTAACAAACCATTGGTGATAACTTCCACCCCTGCTAATCCTTCCCAAAACAAGGATCAATTATCAGACATCCTGCTGGATGCTAACGGCTGCTTGATCCTAGGATCATCAAACATCCCCGATCCGCTGAATGGACACCACCGGATCGTATAGCCCAATTCTGCAGAATGTGGCTCTGGAAATCTCTGGAGAAAGAGATTAGGAACAAGCTATGGGCAGAATGCCCCCTGCCCTCTGATACCAGACAAGTTGCTCTGACACACCTCTCTCCGCAGGGTATTTTGCTCGAACCGTTTTCTGGCAGAGCCGGTCGTCATGGAGGCCGAGCTACCGGCAGGTCTGCCTTCAGCGGCTACAGGCCTCGATCAACCGAACCTTGGAACTCAGGTTATACCCGTCCCTATCACAGACAACTGTTCACCAACAGAGGATCGATCAGATGACGTGGCTCTACTTCTCTCCGTGGTCGCTCTGCTCAAGGTAATGCACCTACCTTATTCTCTAGTGGATATTGCAGGCTGTCTAACTAACTTGTTTTTTCCCACAATGGTAGTTACATAGTTACATAGCTAAATAGAGACTTGCATCCATCAAGTTCAGCCTTCCTCACATTTGTTTTTTGCTGTTGGTCCAAAAGAAGGCAAAAAACCTAGTTTGAAGCACAATTTTGCAACAAGCTAGGGAAAAAATTCCTTCTTGACCCCAGAATGGCAGTCAGATTTATTCTTGGATCAAGCAGTTATTACCCTACATTGAAAGATTATATCCTTGAATATTCTGTTTTTGCAAGTATGCATCTAGTAGCCGTTTGAACATCTGTATGGACTCTGATAAAACCACTTCTTCAGGCAGAGAATTCCACATCCTTTTTGTTCTTACAGTAAAAAAACATTTCCTTTGCCTTAGACAAAATCTTCTTTCTTCCAGTCTAAACGCATGACCTCGTGTCCTATGTAAAGTTCGGTTTGTGAATAGATTTCCACACAATGGTTTGTATTGGCCCCGAATATATTTGTATAATGTTATAATGTTGTGACGAAAGCAACTTCGCCACTGGTTTTTGGAGGGGCCTGTTTGCCAGCCTCCTACCCTGGGACTATGGGCCCAGTGATAACCCATGTTCAAAAGTACTGTTTCTGCCCCTTGGACTTTTAAATGGAACAGATTCAAACATGTGGCGGCCATCTTAAATTGTCCAGCAGTGTTTTGTCTTCATGTATATGGAACTGTTTTGGGCATGGGACCATGTGCATAGTGGGGCAAAAATAAGACTTCCAGGAAATTCCTGAACCCCTGGACCGATCTGGGTGATTTTTGGATATGTTAGTCACCCAGATCGGGACTATCAGGGGATGTGTTTGTGGGGATATGTTGTATTTTGAGGTACGTTTTGGGGTTTGTAAAAATGTATGTTTTTTTCTGTTTAAAGTTAATTGAGTTAGCCCATTGTCTTTGTTAATTGTATCACAGGCAGAGGGGGGGGATTGTGTACACTGTAGGGGAGTGTCTGCATTTAAGACTCTGTTTTTATTGGTTTGTTAATTCTGTGTCCTGTGTCCCACAAGGTTCACCTGGGCGTCAACCTTGTGGGGAAAAACTGTATAAAAACTAAAGCTGCTCAACTCGCAGCCTCGTCTTGTGTTGTAGGGTACTGTTATCTCACACAGGGGATTGCTGTACTCTGTATACTCCCCTGGATGCTTATCAGTAGCTCTTCTAAGAGCTGTTCCTGCTTTGCTCTCTGACGGAAGAGAGGTTTACCCACTGGAGCCTTGTCGTAGGTCCAGGGTGGGTAGGAGACGGCGAGACCCCAACCAAGCTGCGGTGGTTCGTGGGGTCTACAGTACTTACAGTGTGTGGTGCGGTGCTGATGGTCCTTGGTAAGCACTTGGAGCATCGACTGACGGAGGGTCCGTTACAGTCTGTTTTTCTAAAGTCTAAAACTTTTGTTTTTGTGTGGTATGACCAGTGGCGTACATACCAGGGTCGCAGGGGTCGCGGCTGCGACCGGGCCCGGCCCACCAGGGGGCCCGGCCGCCCCTGCGACCCGGTATGTACCCACAGGGCCAGCCTCTTCCCCTGGGGGGCCCAGGAGCTGACCACCCTAGGCAGGGCCGGATTAACATAGGGGCTGATGGAGCTGCAGCTCCAGGCCCAGGCCCATGGAATTTTTTTTTTTTTTATATACACTACTCTTAGGTTTGCCACCTGACTGGTATTTTAATGGCACAGACGGTATTTGAGGCTGCCTGGCCCTGCAGGTATTGCAGTAATGCCAGCAATACAAATGCAGGTAATTTTCTCAGAATAAATGGAAATTACTCTGCAATACCAGCACTGGCCAGTAGGTGTCACTGTGTGTGGAGAGAGGCAGGGATAGGAAGTTACAGAATATCCCTGCCTCTCTCTGCTACTCACTGATCCGTGGAGGAGCAGCTACACAGCACAGAGAGTCTAGACAGCATCTCTACAGCTCAGGTAAGTGAGGGATGGGGGGAAAGGCAGCAGGGACACATGGGGACACTGAGACACTAGGGGACACAGACACTAGGGGACACATGGGGACACTGTCACTAGGGGATACTGAGACACTAGGACACATGGGGACACAGACACTGGGAGACCTGGGGACACTGAGACACTAGGGGACACTGAGACACTAGGGGACACAGACACATGGGGATGCTGAGACACATGGGGACGCTGAGACACATGGGGACGCTGTGAGACATAGGGACATTGGGAGACATTGGGACACGGAGACACTATGTCCCTCATCCAGTGTCCCTAGTGTCTCAGTGTCCCCAAGTCTCCCAGTGTCTGTGTCCCATGTCTCTCGGTGTGCCTAGTGTCCCTATGTCTATGTCCACAACTGTCCCCATGTCTCCCCAAGTGTCTGTCTCCCAGCCAGTGTCCCCTTGTCTCTCAGTGTCCCCTAGTCTCCAGGTGTCCCCTAGTCTCCCAGTGTCTGTGTCCCTAGTGTCTTAGTGTCCCCAAATGTTTCAGTGTCTCCATGTCTCCCAGTGTGTTCCTAGTGTATCAGTGTGCCTCGTGTCCCCATGTCTCCCAGTGTCCCTATATGTCCCAGTGTCCACATGTCTATGTCCACAACTGTCCCCATGTCTCCCAGTGTCTGTCTCCCAGCCAGTGTCCCCTAGTCTCCCAGTGTCTGTGTTCCCATGTCTGTGTCTCTAGTGTCTTAGTGTCCCCAAATGTTTCAGTGTCCCCATGTCTCCCAGTGTCTGTGTCCCTAGTGTCTCAGTGTCCCCATTTCTCCCAGTTTCCCTAAATGTCTCAGTGTCCCCGGGTCTCTCAGTGTCCCTGGTATCCTAGTGACATGGGGACACACTGAGACATTGGGACACTGGGAGAAATGGGGACACAGACACTAGGGGACTGCGCGACATGGGGACACTGTTACTGTGATACATAGGGACACTGAGACACTGGGTGACTTGCGAGACTGAGACACTGGGAGACAGGGAGACACTGGGAGCAATCCATCTATACAGCAGAATCAAACTGTGAGTAGTTTGGTGATTTTACAGAATTTTCTCTGATGTCACTCCTTGTGATTTACATCACGTGATGTCACGCATAACTAATTAATTATACAAATGATTAAGGCTGGTATTTTTTTCCAAGAAATGTGGCAACCTTAACTACTCTTCACATACTCTTGCTTAAAGGAGCACTATAGGGTCAGGAACACAATCATGTATTTCTGACCCTATTATGTTAAAACCACCACCCTGGTGCCTCCCTAAATATAGTAAAATATTACTTGTATTCAATTCTGCAGCTGCTGGCTCAGAAGTGGTGGTCTGAGCAAATTACAATACTTCCCCATAGGATTGGCTGAGACTGTCAACTAGGCAGATCAGGGGCAGAGCCAGCACAAGTCCAACATAGCCCTGGCCAATCAGCATCTCCTCATAAAGATACATTGAATCAATGCATCTCTATGAGGAAAGTTCAGTGTCTGCATGCAGAGGGTGGAGACACTGAATGGCAGTGCTGCACACTAGGCAGTACTGCCCCAGGAAGCACCTCTAGCAGCCATCTAAGGAGCAGCCAGTGGAGTTATTTTCTCTGAAAAGACAGTGTTTACTGCAAAAAGCCTGAATGGAATGATTCTACTTACCAGAACAAATACAATAAGCTGTAGTTGTTCTGGTGACTATAGTGTCCCTTTAAGTTTGGAAGCTTAAGAGGGATGTATGGGAACAAAACTTGTGTGCACTTGCCAACATTAAAGTTAGTTTAGGTAATGCAGACGTTGGTCTCTCTAACACTGTGGCATGTCCCCTTTCTTCTACACTCACTACAGACATCTTTTCTCTGTCTCAGACTATATACCAGGAACTTGTGCCTGCTAGTAAGAAGGTAAGGAGACAAGTGGACCAGCGAGTGCTAGGGGACAGTCCTTAGAAAGAATGGAGTGAGCGCATCATTAGACGCATTTATGTCAAGCTCAAAGTGCTGCCTGCATAGTATGCCCTTATTTGGACAGCCTGCAGGATTGGCAGGCAGCCTGACATGCATTCATGCCAGGTTGACCTTCCAATTCTTTGGACAAACATGCCCCTTTTTGGGCATGTTCACCCCTTTTGGCAGGTCTTGTCACGTGATTCGCGCCAGTGGCACACCCTTTTACCCCGCCCATTGACTTCCTGCTTCACTGGACACTGCTGTTAGGGGTTATGGATTTACTTGAAAGATGAAAGCATAAATTAGAGAGAAGTTAGCATAGAGTATGTGTTTTCTTATAGCTGCATCCTATGAGTTTCCCTCCAGCACCATCTCCATCAGATACATGACACTTGGGAGGTATGATTGTTTTAGTGTTTTTGGTCGATAAGATTCCGTAATTAGGCCCATCATAATTGTCAGCACCAGGCCCACTGTGCTCTTAATCCGGCCCTGACCCTAGGGCCCCCCGAGGCTGGCCCTGCTGACACCCGGCAGGCGGGTGGTCGGTCGGGCAGGCGGGCGCGCAAGGGAGCACTCAGTGCTTCCTCTTCCTCCCTCCACCGCGTGATGCGGGCGAGATGGCGTCATCTTCGGTGCCCCAGCGAGGAGACTGAGAAAAGCGCTCCCGTCTCCGTTCTCTCACCAAACTCAACAGCTTTCCCACTGGACAGGGGATCCCAGCACTCAAAGGTGGGGCTGGGGATTCTGTAAAGTGTGTGTTTCGTGTTGGTGTATGTGTTGGTGTGTGTATGTGTGTGTGTGTTAGTGTGTGTGTTTGTGTGTATGTGTGTGTTGGGTGTATGTGTGGTGTGTGTGTGTATGTGGTGTGTGTGTGTGTTGGGTGTGTGTGTGTGTTTGTGTGTGTATGTGTGTGTGTGTGTTTGTGTGTATGTGTGTGTTAGTGTATGTGTGTGTGTGTTAGTGTGTGTGTGTTAGTGTATGTGTTAGTGTGTGTGTGTTAGTGAGTGTGTCTGTGTGTGTGTCAGTGAGTGTGTCTGTTATTGGGTGTGT